GGACGGCGCCGTGCTGGAGCTCGTCGGTGGCGGTGTCGCGCTGGACGCGGCTGTGTTCGGTGGCGACGTTGCGTTGTACGCGAGTGCGCGCGTGGTAGCGTCGGGGGGCGCTGTGCTGCGCGTGTCGGGGAGCCAGGTGTACGCCGCGCATGGGTTTGTGTTTGACAGCGGGGTGGAGGCCAACGCGTCCGCCGTCGTAGTGAACGACAACGCCGGTGCGCTGACCGATGGCGCGCTGCTGGAGCTGCGGGGGTCGGCGTCGTTTGCGTCCGGGTCGTGGCTGTCGGTGCGCGGCAACAGCATCAGCGGCAGGCTTCTGTCGGTGCCGTCGTACCCGCGCAGTGCGGACCTTGCGCAGAGCACGCTGACGCTTCACGGGAACGTCGGCAGCGGGTCTGTCGTGATGGACGGCACCGTTGCGCTCGGGGGCGCCGGCCGAAGGTTCGTCGTGGGGTGCCTGACGCTCAACGGGCAGGCGCTGCAGCCGATGGACTACAGGTCCGCCGGCATCATCGGGGAATTTCGCCCCGTGGCGTGTGGCGTGTGCGACGCCGACGTGAGCTGCTTTGCTGCTGCGACGAGGGCGATGTCGGGGTCGTGCCGCTGCCGCTGTGCTGAGGGCGGGTACGGGCGTGACTGCCTGCCGGTGTACCTGCCGCGCGTGGACGGGTGCAACCGCACGTCTGGCATGCCTCTGCTGAGCCACACGGCGACGCTGACGGAGACGCGCAGTCTGACAACAACGTGGACGGCGACGCCGAGACCAACACCGAGCCTGAGCACGGCGCACTACAGTCCGACGCAGTACGGGCCGACGGAGACCCTGCAGATGACGGAGACGGTGGCGCTGTCGCCCACGCGGACCCCGACAGCGTCGGTGAGCAGCACGCTGTGGTGGAGCGAAGTGGCGTGCCCGACGCTTGCCGTGACGACGACGGCGGCTGGTGGGAGCCTGACGCAGAACGACATCCGCGGCGGCGGGAGCACCGTCCCGACGCTGCTGATGGTGTCGCTGCCGCCGCCGTTTCGTTGGGCACGCGATCCGCAGCTCGGCACGCACCTGAGCTTCGTGCCGGTGTCGACGGCGCAGCCGAGCGGGTTTGGCGGTCCGTGGGGAGCGATGCTGAGCAACGCGACGTGGGTGCGCAACGCGACGAATCCGTCCACCGTCCTGGAGCTGGCTGTGCCAGTGCACCGCGGTTACTTCACTGCTGCCGACGAGACGATAGTCATTCGCTGCGACGCTGCGGCGGTGTTCGGGGGCTGCAAGGTTGTGCTGCTTGGGTCCTTCACGATCAGGTCCAACACGCTGCCCGCCGCTGCCAGCGCCCTCTCGGCGATCACCGGTGTCGTTGCGGGTGCGGCGGCTGTTGCCGTGGTGGTGACCGGCGGGCTGGGCTCCATCCTGGAGATGCAGGCACTCGGCGTGTTTGCGAGGATTTCATGCGCCTCGGCGCAGGAGCGTGCGAGCACCGTTGCGCTGCCGTACTTCCTGTCGGTGTTCGCTGCCCTTGACCCGCTGTGGATGGTGGTGGGCAACGCGCTGCTCGCCGCTGTGTTTGGGTGCGTGCACTGCGGTGTGACGGCGGCCTTCCAGCGGTGGCGCGGCGTGGACGCGGCGAGTGCGTGGGCGGCAATGCGCTTCCCGAGCCTGACGTACGTTGTGGCGCACGCGATGCACCTCGGCATCTTCTTTGGCTCTGTGTTTGCACTGACAATGCCCGGCGCCCGCGTGCAGCACCACGTGGTTGGTGTCGTTGGCGTGCTGTACGGTGTGGCGTTCCCTGCTGGCGTGTGCTACTTCATTGCCCGCCACGTGGGCGCGAGCTTCGAGAGGTACTGGCAGTTTTCGAGGAAGCCGCTGCACGAGCGCCTGCTGTACCCCGTCGGGTATTGGCACCCCGCGGCGCAGCAGCGGATGTACGGCGGCATGCTGACGAACATGAGGGGCAGCCACGTGTACTGGTGCGTGTTCCAGCTGTCGGCGCTGTGCGTGGTGTGCCTGATTGCGGCTGTGCACCCGCCCGTGGGAGGCTGCCACGTCCAGTACTTCTGCATGGCGGCTGTGCTGATTGCGGGTGCGGGCGTGGTTGCCTTCACGAACATGATGCGCTCGGCCTTCCTGACGGTGATGCACGCGGCGAGCTTTGTGCTCCTTGCGGTGCTTTGTCTGGTCAGCGCGGCGAACCACCTTGCGCCGAGCGACGGCGGTGCGAGGGCGTACGTGGCAACCGTGCTGCTGCTGACCGCGGTGCTGCTTGCGATCGCTGTGTACAGCATGGTTGTGTGGTACGCGGAGGACCGCCACTGGCAGGAGCTGCGCGAGCCGCGGCGTGGCGGACTGGAGGCGCTGCTGCGCGATGACGATGGGAGCGACGAAGAGGCGCGGAAGCCCCACGAAATGACGTCATCGTCGTACGCCTCAGGCACCACCGGCGCGTCGTCGTACCGACCACCCGCACCGCCGTAGCAGCCCATGGCTGGTGACACCCGCTCAGACGCCCTGAGCCCGCTGACCGTTCTTCCAGTGTGAGCTGCAAAATTGGTTGTGCTACGCCGGAGAAGTAATGAATTTGTGCTGCTCAAGAAAGTGGGCGCAGTTTTACCTCGAGTTGGAAAGTGTCTGCCCAAACAGTACCTCCACGTGGCGAGAGTGTACGAGGCTCCTCATGGATGCGGTATAACGTGGGTGCTTTTGGCAATGTGTTTACTTCTTTATTATTATTATTTATCGGATGCTTGGTTGATTGAGTCGTTGCTTTTGTTATTTTATTTTTATCGATTTTGTCAAGAACGGATTATCGAGGTATCGCGCTAGCCCAGGGCGGCTGTGTCACGGGTGTGTGTTGCACGCTCGCCGCTGCAGCGCCCTCTCCGGATTTCGGGGTTATTATTCAGATTTTTACTCAGTAACGAGGACGTGTTCTGCGATGGTGGCTGTTGTGCGGAGCATTGAATTTATTTGAGAAAAACTTAGGGACAAAAAACGATAACGCCCTTCTGTGGCTTTCAATAAATGAAATTTGGACGTGTGCGTTGCTGGTCGATGAGGGAGGGCGTGGGGCCACTGCTGCTGCGCACCACAGCCACCCATCGGACTCCGCAACGGCATTCTCGCTGTTTTTCTGTGCATTGTTTCTATTTCTGTGCGGGTGCCTGCAATGACTCTCTCTCCTGCTCCCCGATGACTGTGTGGGAGGGCGTGCCTGTTTTTCTCGTTGGTTATGATGTTGTATAAAATGCGAAAAAAGGAAAATGGACGGAAAAGTATGCAGGCTGATGTATTTTTTTGTGTATTTATGTATCGATATGTTTTTTTTTGGATTACTCTGGTGGTTCCTCCTGTCTCCTTTTACGTTGTTCCACACGTGTCTCAGTGTCTGCTTTAGTACGGCCACACACGGGCGGCTTGAGCCGCGGATATCTTTTTTCCTTGACGTCATTTCGTGTTAGGCACTAACGCGGTCACGTTCGTCAAGCATCCACTCTCCACAGCGTGGTGCCTGATATTTTGGAGTTATCTCAGATGTAACGCAGGCAACACCGCCGTGGCACGCATGGGAAGTAAGATGGAACGCGGGACAGCGAAATATATTGTGCGGTACGCGTGTCTGTTGCATTTGTTCTGTCGTGGTGGCCTCAATGTAGAAGGAGAGGGATGAACATTGCACGATTCCGTGGCTTGGAGGAGTTATTACCCCTTTTTTATTTTGTATGGTCTTTGGTTCCCACCCGTGTCTGCCCCGATTGCCTCCGCTGAGTGGAGCTGCGCCATGGCCATCCTTTTTGTTGTTGTTGTTCTTTTATCTCAAGGCACGGCGGGATTGGGGAGCACCGTCCCACGAAAGGTATTGCACACTTACACACTCTCATGCCACTGTCGCCCCCGAGGTCGGGTGCAAAACCCAAATCCCTGCTGCTTTTTGCATTGGCGCAATTATTTTTATTAACTGACGCCTCCCTGTCCGGCGTGCCACTTTGATTGGATTGTGTGGGATTGCTCGCCAACGCCATCGAACGAAACAGGCTGACGCCTTCACGTATTAA